CAATGTTTTATAAGGTGGGGATCACTGACCTATTTTCTGTTTACTGCAGTTGGTACAAATTATTTGTTTAGATTATAGAAATAAGGTTAATTTTAAAATACATTCTTTATATATTAATTGGTTTGATGATGCTTATTATGTAAGTAGACTGCAAATTTTCTAAATCTATCACTTCATATAATAACAATTCAGCTAAAAAGAATAATAACAAATTTTCAGGAGTGAAAATAATCATACATGGATTGAAAAGACAAAAAAACCTTTTTCTCCTTCAGCATTAATGCAAACACATGTAGAAGACAACAATGAAAGATTATTTGCACCTTCATATGAGTAGTAAAGTCCTTTTAAGTTGAAGGGCTACCAGTTTTTCTATTGGAGTGTTTATGTGTGGGAGGACATTTAGAGTATCTAGTATAAAATTTTATTCTAGCGTTATCTGATTCTAAAACACAACAAGTCATTTTCTTTCACTTTGACAATAAAACTAAATCCTCATCTAAGAAAGGACCCTTGTTTGTTTTATATATCATGAGATCATGTATGATTAGTGCTCTAAGAGGAGGGAAAGGGGGATAATTATTATTATAAAACATCAGCGATATTAAGGAAAGGGTGTATGTAAGAACTGAGGTCACAGTAAAATAATAAGTTTAGACAATCATTGAGCAAGTGGTTATACAGTGGCAATGTAGCAGTAAGCAATGTTGGGGAGTGTGAAATAAATGGACCACTGCGATATTAAACTAATGCATAATATTTTATATCTCCTTTTCTTCCTCCATGCACACCTCAGAATTTAGTGAGGAATACAAAAAGTAATAAGAAATGCCTAATAATATATATGACTCAAAATAGACATTTTCTCTTTACAATGATTCTTCCTTAAGGTTATTAATAAACAGGTACAAAATTGTCATGCTAGATACATCAGGTTATACAGAAAAGGATAAGGAAAGAAGAAAAGAAGGAAGGGAGGAAGGAAAGGAAAAACAAGGGAGGAAGGAGATAGAAAATTTAAAGTATGTATTTAATAATAACCAGATGTGATTCTATGTCAACATTCTGATGGTAAAAAATTGTTAACTTGAAGATAGGGCATTTCTTAACACTCCACACATATATTTGAGTTATTCTATCTCTATGTAAATGGAAGTTTTTATAATTAAATAAGTTTCTGTCACAAATTTCAATTTTTCCTTAATGTGTGAGAATAAACCATGCTTTAAACTTACCTTTGTTGATTCAGATGGAACTAGTCTACTTTAGGATGGAAGGTGTTTTAAGCTATAAGAGATGGTCAAGCATACACTGGACTCTAATAATAACATGAAGGAATGCATGCAACCACAATTTTGGGACATAATTCACTCAAACATCAAATATATTTAACCATGTTATACATAATTGGAATTTTGCTTATGAATAATGAAAATAAATAGAACTAAAACATTTCTAAAATAAGCACTTTATCATGTAAATCCAGTAAAGTTGCAGATTTTATGTAAAATTCTATAAAATTGCTCAAAGAACATATAATTAATCTAGAACATGCTTAAGAGACACTTCCCATACTAAGGTGGCATGGATAATTCAAGAAACAGCAGATTTGAATGACTACTAGTTCAGTTCTCAGCTCCATCCAGATGTACTTTGCCCTAAAATGCTTTTAATAATTTTCTTCCATGCCAAAATCTACATAGTATTCCAAAATAGTAATTCATGCTTATCCAAACTGATTCTCTGAGAAGGTTCTGGAAATCGCAGCATGTCCTAATACTTGCACAAGTTTTCCAAGGAAGGAAATTTCAAATGTTCATAAAAGGTATCAGTGATTCAAGAAGTTCATCTTCATCCTTCAGGAAAGGAGGCATTTTCAATCCACATTTAACACTTTTCTAGTTCAGAAATTAACACAGTTAAAAAGTATTTTTAAGATCCAGCAAAACTATCTCAATATTTAGGTTCTAGGAATCATCTGGTTTATGCTTTTGTCTGAGAAAATGTGGTTCAAAAGAACAAATATAAATGCAAGCACAACACAAAATTAATAGGTCTTGGAAGGCTTGAAGTAATTATATCCCCAATGGCATTCTTGAGTGCATCTGGCCAAATGTTGTTAATGCAATGGTCATGGCAATGTCTCTGGTTCCCTTGGATGTTCACCTTCTACACTTGTATTAGATTGTCTCACCCACTATTTCCCAGAAGCCCGATAAGTCAAACAGAAGGTGAAGTTCAAGGAACTTGGATTGCTTTGTGCTCTTCCAGCTTCCTGAAAAAGTGGAAAATCATCCAGCCTCTAAATGTATTAGATTACCTGACAGAAATCTGAGATGAGATACATCAAAGAGACCCAAGCCTGGACACTACATCCATGTGTGGACTACTATCAAAATCTTACTGTAGAGAATACATAAATCAATCTATGATCTGCCATGTGATTTGTACATGGGTGCTTATAGTTAGTAACAGTATTGAAACATATGTGTGGATAATGGGAAGCAAAGAAAAGCCAAGATAAAATAATAAACTGTCCTTTCTTCAATAAGTTGTTAGAGATGAAAAGTGGGGGGAAAATATGGAAAAATCAGAGGAAGAAAACTGTCTGGCTACAGTAATGCTTTTATGCAGTTAAACCTTTAGTCCATTCTCCCACCACTATTCACAAATTGTTCAGTTACACTCCTGAAGGCACTGAAATTTAGTTAGCCTCTCTCTATACCATACAAACAATACAAGAATTTATTAAACCTTTAAAACATCAGGAAATCAAGCATAGAGAACCTAATCTGGTTCAAATGAAACTACAGAGCAAAATAACAGTAGTAGTAGTAGTAGTAGTAGTAGTAATACAAAAATATGTTGAGAGATGATTGTGTGATTTAAGTTCATCATATGAGTCATTGTAAGCACCGAGTGTTAGCTGGATTTAGTTTCTTCCTGACAGTTACACTGAGACACATTTAAACTTAGAGCCTTACAGACATTATTTAGCTCGTTACTAAAATGACAAGTGTGAGTAACATTAAAGAATGTCACTGATATGTGAGATCAATGTCCATACTCACAAAGTCAGGAGTTGTTATATTGAATTCTTGTTAACTCATTTTAATTTTCTTCAATAAAATTACCTTTTTCTTTATACTGTGCATCTATTTAAAAGGGAAAGGCTTGTTTTCCTACTGCATAAGCAGTCAATATAAATTGTCCAGGAGCAAAGTTCTCATTTTCTACACTTGCCTTACAATCTTTAGACTGACAAATGTAATGTGATGTTTATTTAACAAATATATTTAACTCTGGTGATGGTTTTATTGCTGTCTTAGTAACTGCTGAGATTCCATTTCTCTTTGCTATAATATTTTTACAATTGTTTTTGTAATTGTATTTCCCTCACTATATTTACTGCTATTTAATATTTGTTTAATGATACCTCCAGAATGGTCACAACAGTTCCATTGCATGTATTTATTCTAAACAAAGTTCCTTCAGTGTCTTCATTATATTGCTTTTATAAAAGCACTGATCCAATCCTCTATGTGTTGTGATATTTGCCCTAGTTAAGAGATCTTAGCTCCAATCTGAGTAAGCATGCCCCAAAGTCTTGGCATACAGTTTGTATTGCCCCCCATGTCATATTTCTCAGATGTATTTGCTTTATTATAGTTAAAAAGCAATATGTTGTGCCACAAAATATTCTTTTACGTGACAAACTTTATTTTAGAAAAAATGGAGTGAAAGAAAAGAGGTTTCCATATATCCATTGTCACCACACAGGGACAACCTCTGCCTCCAGAGTATGACATTGGTTAAATGAATCTTCACTGATACATCTTTATTAACAAAAGTCAATAAGTTACATGAACATGAGTCCATAGGTTCACTCTTGGTGTTGTATAGCTAAATTGTTATCATATATAACAACATTCTCAATGTAGTAACATACAAGACACTTCCACTGTCCTAAAATACTCTTTTTACCTCCTATTCATTCATTCGCCTGTACCCAACCCTTGGGGCCCACTGTCTCTTTCTTGTCTCAGTGCTTTGCCTTATCCAGTGATCATATAGTTCATGTCACAGATTAGGTAGCCTGTGCAAATTGACTTTTTGTACTTTGTAATATGCATTTAAGTTTCAATATGTGCTTTCATGAGTTGTGAGACACATAGTATTAGTTTTGTTAGTTTTATTTTTTTTAATTGTAGTGAGAAATATCACAATCCAGAATCGTGATCCAATTACCATCCATTTACTTATAAAATTTAATGACATCAATTGGTTAAAAACATTTTATTAACAGTTACATAAAGTTATAGGAAGTATTGATAAGTCCTACTTAGAAGGAGATACAATATATTTGATTCAATATCTGAATTCAAATATATTCTCTGTCATCACTAGCCATTATTTATTTCAAAGTGAGATCTGGAACATTTGACATGCTTTCAAACAGATTCTACCCAAAATATGTCTTTGTTACATAACTGATATCTGATGATACTAGAAATGCATCTGTTAATTTTCTATCAGAATTTAAATTTATTAATATAAAAATATAAGTTTAGATTTCGAATTACTCAATAACAGAATGTGAGACACCAATTAGTTTTGACCATGTTAAATAGTTTAATATGATTCTCATAAAATGTTTTCTTTGCAATTCATTGATCAACATATCACCATATTAATTTAGAAATTGTTTTTCTCCAGAAATTGATTATTTTCATACCTGTAAACCTATATATACTATCTACCTAAATCCCACACAAAATCAGCTTAGTTTTTAATTAATTGTGGTATGCACACTTTAGAATTTAATTAGTAATTACTTAAATTTAGCCCTGTATCTCTCAATTTTTCCATTCAAAATAGATATTGGAGTGATAAATCTAAGAAAGTTTTCCTAGCTCCATCATTCACATCTACACTTTTTTTTTTTTGACGAAGGTACTAATCCAATACAATATATATTTTTTAAATTAGTATGTGTTTCTTTTCAAAAATAACGTTTGACACCAAAATTTCCTCATGGTGTTCTTCATCTCTGTGTTTCTCAAAGTGTAGATTAAGGGATTGAACATAGGAGCAACAATGGTGTAAAATATTGCAAATATTTTGTCCTCAGGGTAAGTAGTAGGAGGTCTTAAGTAGATGAAGATCACAGGAGCAAAGAATAAGATGACCACAGTGATATGAGACCAACAAGTGGAGAGAGCTTTGCGTCTTCCTTCAGCGGACTGATTCCTTAGAGTGAACAGTATAATGCCATAAGAAAGAAACAAACCAACAAAGGTGACTAAGGAAATGATCCCTGAAAAGGTAATTACAAGGATACCTGTGATGTAGGTATCAGTACAGGCAACTTTTAACAGAGGAAAAATGTCACAAAAATAGTGATCAATTTCATTGGGACCACAGAAGGGCAGTGTGATAGCCATAGAAAATTGAGGAAAGGAATGAACACCTCCTCCTACCCAAGCAGCTAAGACCAGGAGATTGCATCTTGTCCTGTTCATGATAATCATGTAGTGGAGAGGTTTGCAGATGGCAACATAGCGATCATAAGCCATGGCGGTAAGAATGAAGATTTCAACACCCCCAAAGAAGTGCATGGTAAAGACCTGCAACATGCAGCTACTGTAGGAAATGGTCTTTCTCTCCACCAGCAGGTCACCAATTAACTTGGGTGTGACAGTGGAGGTATAGCAGATGTCCATGGTCGACAAGTGGATGAGAAAATAGTACATTGGTTGGTCAAAAAGAGGACTGCATTGAATAGAGACAAGGATCACAAGATTTCCTACCAAAAGAGCAATATAACAGAGTAAGAAGAACACAAAACAAAATATTTGAGTGTTTTTGTCATAAGAAAGTCCTAGAAGAATGAATTCTGAGATGTTTCTCTGGCTTTCCATGTATTTAAATTTTGTGTATATTATGCACAAGCTGAGTCCTGTACTTGAAAAAAAAATTAAATGTTAGCAGTAGAAACAAAAAGTGTAAATTGTTCTGAAAGAGATGCATATGAATGTAATAGTAATGTTAGTTTAATTAAAAATTAAGATTTGTCCTTTTTGTGATGTCTCTTAGTTTAAAAAATCATTATGAAACAATTACCTGAGAGCAATATTGTACAATGAAAATTACACATTATTTAATAGTGCTAATAATGCATTTAATATTTAATACTATTTTGAATATAAAAGTATTTAAATAATGCTAATTATATTACAGATTAAGTTACCTAAATTAACAAAAATGTTATTGACTACTCTCAGTTCTTGCACTTAACATTTTTGATCATGATATTTACTTTAAATTATGTGGTCAAATCTAATGGATTAATTGGCAAAGAACTTTGAGGAAATTTAAATGTGTTTAAACACCTTATTTTGAAATGCTGGACTAGAATTTTCTAGAACATACTACACTTCTGATGTCAATCAAACATTGTCAATAGATTGTGCTAAACCAATGTAATTATTATTTTAAATAGCACAATAATGTTATACAGCAAGAGAACAAATGTCATTAAATAAATTTCACTTATTTTTCAGATTACATTTTATCTGATGTAGACAAAATATAAACATATTCTTATTGACATTTGTGAGGCAATTGATATGGTAATAAGATTGTCGTGCTTCCCAATTACTTTTTAGTTGTACAGATTTCATCACTTTTGCCAGAAATTTCATATCTTAAAATGATGTCAGGAAAGATCAGTGGAAGGCAAACTCTGAGTCCAGTTTGCTGTCAGTGATGTTGTTACAATAACAAATAAATGAAAAATACAAAATCTGGCATGTTTTATATCTAGTTTATATTGTAAATCATTAACTAATGCAAAATTAAATTAAGGTAAGAAGAAAACACTTTCAGTTGCTATTTTAGGTACTAATGAGAAATCACTGGATTTCAGTGGGTTGTCAAAAGCTAGGTGCACCCTACCTTCATCTGGATTTGAAGTTACAGTGTGTAAAAGTGTGTATTTCTTTTGTGTAAGATTATTTGTAAATGCCTACGGTAGTGACTCATAACTATTTATTTAGACTATTCATAGTCATTTGTAAGGTTTAAATTGCTAAAATTGACAGTTATTGGCATTCATTTATGGCCCACACTATAGGACATTAATTCTACTTTAAATTATAATCCAAAACTCTAACTTCATAAAGTAAAAAACTTTAATTTGTGCCTTCTCTGTTTGCAGTATTACTGGAAGGACTCTTCTTTTGTAGTAGGTAAGGAAATAATTAGAGCTCATCTTGTGTCCTGCAGTTAACTGCATCTAAGAAGTTTTAAAAATTGTGTTGGGGATAACCTCTGGTGGCCCAGGGTTTCAACTCAGCACTGTGAAGCTATCAATAGCTACTGTGGCATGAGTTCTCTCCCCAGCAGGGATCTGACCCACAGGACACAGCAGACTTCTCCTGCCTTGCCCACTGCTCCCCTCAGCAGTGTGTTTCAGTAGATCTGCCTGTTCTCTGTCTCTGGTGAATCCTCTTAATACCGCACCTCTAGCTTACACCCCGTATTTTGTATACATAAATAAATAAAAATAAATATTTTTAAAATTCAATAAAAGTTGGGGATCATTAACAAAATTTCTATTTAATATAAATTAAATAGATGCAACTGATGCCAATTATTTGCCTAATAGTAGAAATGTTTTTAATTTTTCAACTGTGATTGTTAGCAAATTTTTTTTGATTTACAGGAAATTATTATATGATTAGATTGTGAACTAAATAAATTTGCAAATCACTGCAAATAATCCAAATATCTCATTTAATAGAATAGACTTAGATAACAAAAATCTAAATCATTCTCAGGATTGGAAAATAATACACTTTGAGATTTGGAACACAGAAACTATGATCATCTTTCAAGCTGAGTCTTATTTTGCACATAAGAGGTGAGAGGGTGGGGAAAGTGTTTTTGAAGCTCAGGACAAGATTCCCCCACAATTTGCTGAAGTACTATGTTCATTATTTTTATTTGGAAATTGCTTGAGAAAAGACCGGTACAGAAGGACATGGTGAGCTTCTCTAAATCTCCCATAGGAAAGGTCCTGCTGGAGCTAAAGACCCTTCCTTATTCCAAAACAGGGAAGTCAAAGCCTGGAGAGCACTGTCTGTAATCTCTAGTTAGTGCCTTGCTAATTGGAGTTATCAAATTCAAAAGTCTCCCTCAAATCTACCTGCCTGGTGAAACTGCACAAATTCATTGTGTCTTTGTCAAAATTTGGTCATTTCCCATACCTATGAGGTCTCCGTAAGTATGGGTTTTTTTCTGTTTCTACTCTTAATCTCTCTTAATGCCATTTTAATTGTTAAAGCTTCCAAATGAATCTAGAAGAGGAACAAAGACTTTTCTCTCCTCCAGAACAAGGAAGGGCAGTAATAAAAAGACTAGTTTAAATTTATGTGTTAAGAGAGAATATACAAGATTATGGGTTAATAGACTCTAGTCTGTCTCCTGCGTATTTACACATGAAAACAGGTATTGAGCATTTAATATAAACATGGACTAGAATATTCAGATTCTAAAACACTTAAAGCAAAATTTCTTCATGTTTATAAAACTACAAACTCCCCAAGTCCATATTGTTTGTTTTCTAGATCACCCTTCAGTTTTAATCTCTTAAACCCACATGCTGGAGAAATTGTGATATGATTAGTGCTCTGAGATAAAAGGGAAAAGAGAGTTGAGGAAAATTATCATTATAAGATAGCAGAATAATATTAATTAGACCTTGCATATAAAATTTCAAATCAGATTTAAGTAATAAAGAATATTGAACAGCTAATATTAACAGTGCTTAAAACACTAGCAACGTGGAGATAAAAAATTTGAGGAAGGTGAAACAAATAACCAGCATTGTCCCTATGTGGATCTGCTTGAAAGCCTCATTTTCTTCCACAATGCATTGAAGATGTCATTCTATAATTCATAAATTTAATGAGGAAAAGATGGGATAAGATTAAATACCCCATTACAGGCATAGTTCAAACACTCAGTTACTTTCACATTACATTTTTCTTTTTGAGGATATTGTTTAGAAAATACAGAAATTGCTATGTTCATACATGCAAAACAAACAGCATGGATTTAATAAGTTTGATCAAATTCAACAATCTATTAGTAAAAACCCATCGTTTGACGGTAGCTTAGCACTTGAAGTCTGTTATTCTATATTAATCATTTGTCTGATCTTTATGCACTAGTAAAATAAAATAAAATAACTAATTCACTTATGTGTTATATTTGAATAAAAATATGCATGCATTTGTGTTATGCTGTCCAAATAAGAATAAAAATTTCCACTGCATACCCCAATGTTTTCATAGTCTATAAGAATGCACATGCTGTGAACTTACCTTTGGTGACTCAGATGAAACCAAGCTATTTTAGGAGATAAGGTGTTCTGGAATATCCAGAAGTCTTCATAGTTCTTAGTTATTGGAGCAAAATTCCATTTATTTCTTAAAAATAGTGTGGATAGATGTAAGCAAGGATGAATTTGGGACACAAAGTCCCTGCCAACTTGAAAACACTTTATTTAACTTGCCTTTTCCCAAGTGGAAATTTCTTATAAATACTTCACAATAAAATAAAGTGTGCCAATCCATTTTTATATTAATCAAATTATCTATGCTCCAAGAAAAGTAATAGTCTTTGGAATGAAATTATATATACTAAGAAGCATATCACTTTTCTGTGGCGGGGACACCTTCCCAAACCAAGGTGTCATGGCAGAATCTCTGGTCTTCAGATCCGACTGGCTGTCGGGGAATCTATGGCTTCATCCGGGAGCCCTCCACTCTCAGATCCTCAGTCTGCCTTTGGCTTCAGTGCCACAAAGAAGCAAAATGTAGCAAATAATAAAGTAGCAGTTCAAACATCAAAATGAGTTATCTGAAAATGTTTAAAAATCTCTGTGTTATCCTTCTAACTCCTTTCCAGAGAAATAGACTTCAAAAGTTCACTAAAATGATCAAAGGTGTGAGCCCAGGAAAGCAGGCCATGAAATTTGAATGCATACTTAACACCAAATTACAAGCTCACATTAAAAAATAAGTGAAATGTATATTTAAAATTTGGAGAATATTGAGGTCCCAGAAACTTCTATTTTAGCCTACAGCTGAAGAAAATCTTGTTCAGAAAGAATATACACATCAGCTTAAGTAATTGTATTCCCAATATGTTTATACATGGACCTGGACCAAAGTGGCTAAAACATTCTCCAAGTTTAAAAGCTGTTCCTCTTGAGTATTTATTTTCCATCGTTCAATTATTTTCTCAGACACTATTTCCCTGGAGGACCAAAAACTCTATAATCAAGCCTAGTTTAGGAAACTTTGTTTCTGCTATCTTCTACCTCTCTGCAGCTAGCAGGAAATTAAAATAATAAATTATATTATTAGATAAGCATTCAGGAAAATCTGGGATGAGGTAGGACAAGAATAGATGAAAGTAAGGAAACTAGTAAATTAGCAGTACCGTTTTTAAGTTTTAGCAACACTAAATGATACTATAATACTACATATTGTGACTAAACTTAAGAAACTACTATAATAATAGAAAAATGTTAAAGAAGATTAGAGATAATAATTGAGAAAATTTCCAAACTCTAGGCAAAGGACTTGTATCAGTTGCAATAAATGCTCCCCACATTCTAAATTATGCCATGCTTTTTGAGATGCTGTTACCTGCTGAAAATTCTATAACTGCTCCTTGTTACATAGAGGATAATGGAAACTGAGAGTGATACAAAATAAGAATAAGTTAGAGCTCCACTTAATTATTATAGAGATATATATGAAATAGAATATGTTCAAATACATAAAAATATGAGTAATGTATATGGCACAGAAAAGTAGGGTCTTGGTTTATGGAAATAATACAAACCTGAAAGAGAATAAATATTGAATATATGAAATAGAAATATTATGTGGGGGCCCTCCCTGGTGGCACAGAAGTTTATAGCACAGCACTAAGAAACTAAAGCCACTTCAGCATGAGTTCGATCCCCTGCCTGCCCCGGAGGTGACCCAAATGGCACGGCAGACCTCTCCTGACCCGCCTGCTGCTCCCCTCAGCAGTGTACTTCGTTGATGTGCCTTTTCTGCTCCCCACTCTGTCTCTGGTGAAGCCTCTCACCGCCCCTGAGCCGCTGGTCTGTACCCTAATTCTGTATGCACAAATAAATAAATCTTTAAAAAAAGAAAAATAAGAAATATTATGTGAAAAAATAGCTTTTTCCAGATAATGTTAGCCTGGTTTTCAGATAGAAAAAGAATACCTCACCATATGTTGAAACATAAATATGTAGACATGCAATTTTTGTGAAATTAATATTAAATTTTCTTTTCTTTTTTTTTAAAGATTTATTTATTTGTGCATACAGAACTGGGGTACAGGCCAGAGGCTCAGGGACGGTGAGAGGCTTCACCAGAGATAGA